AAAATGGCTCACGTTTTGAGCACACATCATGTAACACCATCTTTTTAAAAATAAATGTGTTTTTTAAAGACCTATATAGAAGCAAACAAACAAACAAAACACAACTTAGATTATATTAGATCCTTGAAATAAAGTTTCAATTGGTCTCAAGGGGATTTATTTCATGCCATTAGGTCACAGAGTGTTGAGTACTTTCTGTAAGTTCCTCCTCCAAAAGACTGTATCTTGAGAGCTATTATATTATGATTCTCTCTCTCACAAGCTGCCACAAAATTGTCAGTCTGTTTATTCACCAGAGAAAGAATTTAAACTTCAAACCTAGTGTAGATACTAGTTCATTCAGTGCTCTTGGAGTGGGTTAGATTTTTTTACATTGTAAATCTAACACGTATTTTTAAATACACCCTGTTCAACTACATCTTTCTGTCTTTCTCCCTTCTTTGCCCACTACTCATTGATGAAAGCACCTTAATTTAACTTCTTGCAAAATTCTTTGATGGACAGAAGCAATGTAAAAGGTTAAACTGACCTGCAAATAATGAGCTACGGGTTTTGAAAGTGACAAATACATTCCTTATCTGAGAAATTCTTAATATGTAGGGATCAGAAATTAGTAGCAGATGTTGGAAGAAAGCGAGGAAAAGGCTTTCTTTTTCTGTCACAAATCCTGTTTAAGTTTTGGGCCAAAAATTGTAAAAGGGCCAGAACTGCACAGAAGGAGGCTGGATTTAGTCTGGCAGAACCAGATGTTAAAATCACAGCTGGTTTCTGGACCTACTAACAAAATGCTTTTTAGCACATTTTGTTCTTTGCCTCTGCTTCCTCTCCAGGGATATGGTGAACAGCTCCATCTCCTCTTTTTTTTTGGGTCCACTCAGATCTGGACCTGAAAGTCCCTGCTATTTCTGTGAGAAAGACACTCCTTGCTGACTTTTTGTTCCCAACCCCGTCTTCTATCTCTGTCCCTGCGTTGTCTGGCTTTCTCTATAGAAATGTGTGGAATTTCTGTAGAAATTTGCTCAGCAGCTAATTTCTGAAGGGGTTATACACAATTTTTCCACGGATCTGGCAATTCTGCATGCTACGTTAAAGTATTTGCTTGCAAATGCCGACCTGCTGCTGAGTATACATTAAGGCACTGATGTTCACAGTATAGCTGATAGCTGGTGGAAACGAAATAATCTGTATTGACACATTTGGAAGTTTCACATCTTTTTCCACTTAACATGCTAACGTGATAATTGCTAGACTGATGATTTTTCCAGTGACACGTCTCCTTTTGTCAATATTTAGACCTGTGTATAGAAAGCTTATCTATCACACCTGGCTAATTTTCACTTAATTTAAAAATAAATGGAACATGTTTAGTTTGCAGGGTTAGCAGAACAAAAAGAGGTTTTTATAAACATTTTTCTTGAAACATTCTTTGAAGGATAGGAAAAGATAATGACAAAAGGATACAGAATGTAGCTCAAATGAAGCCAGATTCCATAAAACAGTCAATTATTTTAATGCCTAAATAAACCTAATTGAATATTGAAGTTGAGACTTCATTTTGCTTACCATTTAATGCAAATGAAAGCAAAATATAATGGGAAATAAAAATAGCAATAACTACCCAATAAAATCACTTAGCAGCACAGCCTGTGAGGCAGACAAAATTTCAGCTAAGCGATTGTGTGTATCACTGGGCATTTGTTCATAGGGTTTAAATACTGAATCCCAGGGCTTTATTATCTAAACAATTCATTCAGTTCTGTCATAGTGTTTGTTTGCTGATTAGGTAAGAGTTTGTCAGTGAAAGAACATAGGCAGTAGTATTTTGAGTACCCCAAAGGAACTGAAAAACTGTATTAACCTTAGTTTTGTTAAACTTCAGTGCTACTTGCAGGATTTGCAATGAGTGTGACCACACAGATCTGCAAGAATAGGTATCATGGCCTTTGAATGAATCATCTAACCACTACTTTCAAAGGTTGAAATATATATATATATTTTGTATTAAATACAACATTTCATCTACATGCAACTGTAATTCCTGTCACAGTTCAGTGTTTCCATTCATGTCTTGCAAATGTGCTACATCTATTGGGGTCGAGGGTTTATTCTCTTATCTTTAATGGTAGCACTTATTTTGAGATGAATTATATTCACCTACTTAAAGCTTTTATTCTATAACTGTAGTTAGATATTTTTGCTTTATTGTGGTAAACATGGATATTCCACTCACATGGTAGAGAATTCAGTCGTGGTCAGCTTTGACTTAGCCTCAATGGTTATGAAATCTTACATGTAATCCCACTGTTTCACAAGGTTTTCAGTGTTATACGTATGATGTGTCATAATGTTTTGAGATCACTGAGTTAGCTACATTTTTTTTTTTCTCCCAACCTTTTTCTTCAGATAATGAAAAGCCACTTTTAGGTTCTGCTTTTGGGCACTTTTGTCTCCCAATCTAAGGGATAGCTAGTAAATGTGGCATAAATATGCCACTGTGAATTTGCAACATGCACCTATACATAAAAGAGGCATAGTTCATACTTTCTTCAACCAGGCCATCATTATTATTAGTCTTTTTTTTAATGCTAATTTGTTTTCAATATCACAAACATATAATCTGTAAACAACTTTTGTCTATTCCATTTTTATGAGATCCAAGCTTTTTCTCTGCTTGATCACGGTCATCATGACAGCTTTGTTGTCAAGCTACATGCTTATTAATGTATCTTCAGTTTGTTTTGCAATACATGGTGCAACTTGTCCTGAAACTTGGAAATGACTGCTTTCACTGCATATCTGACACAGTGCTTCTATGCTGAAAACCTCCTCGCTGTATTGTAGTTGTTTCCCTGTGTCTTGGAAACCAATCTGATCTTTGCCATTTGACTATAATCCAATTCTGTTGTAATGCTCCTTTATTATTTTTATTTAACACATATTATTTCATATACCATTTCTCAGTAAATGGTTTTAATTTACCCTTCAAAGAGTTGCAGTTACTTATGAGATGTCTCAGATAACTTGTTTTTGATCAGGCATTCTGTATGTAACTTTTACTGGCTATTCAGCTCCATATACTTCACCATTTTTGTGCAAGCCTTAAAAATCAGAAATGTGGTTAAGTGGAAAGAAAATGTGCTTTGCAATCAATAGTCTTGATAGAAATATTCTGAATTATTCTGTCTTGAAAGTATTGCAAAGGACTCTGCAAGTCTCTTTGATGCTGCTGAAGGATTATGTTGTAGCTTCCTACACCCTGCAGACACAGCTGAGTATCTGATTTCCTGAGTGGTAGTGCTTTTTTTCAACAAAAATCTGGAAATATTGCCTTCATTTCTTTCAATTCTCTGCCAGGCTCCCATCCAGACTAAGAGATTCAGATGGCTTGTATTTGGCAGAAAAAAGAAAATTCCCCCAGTCCCATAAATTAGAAGTGTTGGAACATCTGCAGAATGCCAGTTAACTTAAAAAGCCGCGGTTACAACTGGTTTGTACCCTTTTACCTGACACTTCCAATAAACTTCTGGAACAATGAAACTAAACTGCAGCCTATGAATCCAACAGGATCAACTTTCAGATTTTATCACAGCCCTGTGAAACAAGGTGCATTTCTATGTCTTTCAGCTATTAGTATTATGTGCATAGATGAGAGGCTGAGGATTTGTTTTAATAGAAATATAAATTCCTAAGTTTCACGTCTCTAGAAAAAAATAACATATTTAGATTTTCACAAGAGTTTTTCAAATGAAAATTAAATTCAACTATAAAATGTGTTATTAAATAAATATTTATAGAATTTTGATCCAAAGGCCAAGGACAGTGAATGTTGTATGATGCTTGAATGCTTGTGGTTGATAATGCTGTAAAGCAGGGACCAGTTTTGCCAAATCCATGCCACTTTTGGAACCACCAGAATTCTGCATGGTTCTTCTGTAGGTATATTTGCACAGAAGGAGAACATTAGGACTCTGGTAGGGAAATGCATAAAAGCAACAGGGGCTTGCTTTGCCTTAAGACTGGACAGTGTTATAATCACCCTCCACAGCTTTGGGAAACAAGACTCTTGGTTTTGCATTTAAATCTGTTTGGCAATATGCACTATGTCTCCCAGCCACTTGGCTATTTGTAGAATTTGCTGTATTCAGGGGGTTTGAAATACTTTAAAACAAATTGAGCTGAATGGGGATCTTAAACCATTTCCTGATTGGTGTGTCTTCTAGCCCCTAATGTGCCTTTCTAGGTCTTAGTTATTTCCTTTTCATAAAAAAATAATTGCTCTTAAAAATGTCTGGTTGGATTTCTTTTGTAAAGAGAGCTGAACTGAGGAGCTGTGGGCAGATTAACTGGACTGCTTCGTTTAGTAGGCTCTCTGAGCTTTGAAGAATGCTTCAAAAGTATGGAATAAAGCTCTTTTTCTTCCTATTTTTACATGGGCTAACAACTTCCCAGTCTTTTAATTTGCTGTCCTGTTGCATTAGAGTTCATTATCTTTGTGTTACAGTTTAGTAATTCTGTCTGAGTTTCTATCCTTTCTCTCTTCTGAGTCCCTGCTGAAAATTGCAATACAAGTAACACAGCAGAAGCTTGTATACAGACAGAAGATATAATGAGAATAGCACTTCTCGTGGGAATTAAATGCTGCATCACAGTTTCATTTGCAAATATCTGCAATGGAAAAGCATGTTTAAAAGTGCGTTCAGATTTACTGTTTGGAGTCTCTTCTCTTCTGTACTATGCTTGCACTGTTCACATTATAAAACAAGGGATGCAGTTTGAAGTTGGTTGAGGGATAGATATGTAAATTTGGAGGAAAACAAAGTCAGAAAACAGTTTCAAGGTACAGTAAAGATAAGAGTGACTTTAAACCTAAAACTGAATTCAAAAAGCAATTTGCAAATACAGTTTAATAATATCTTTAATTTAGAAGTGAGAAATTCAAAGAACAAAGACTTCAAGTGACTCGAACTTGTCCAATGCTTTTTGGTCAGATGGTGGTAAACTACAGGTCTTCAGAAAACAATTCCTATACTATTTTATGATATCAGAAGATATTAGAAGATTCTAAGTGAGATCATCATGTTGGCTTTGAACACACAGATCATGTTGAGTGGAAAATCTGAGCAGTGATGTCCCAATCCAGATGAAGTTTTTTGCAACACAATAAAAGGTGGAGAGAATATGTATGGATAGTTCATATGTGGAACTGCTAATTCAGTTAAATGACTACCTAATGTCATAACTAAATGCATTTAGAGAGTTACTGACTGAAAAGGAAAAAAGAAAAAGGATATACAGCGTGGAACAAAATACAGTGGCTCTTGTATGACATGTGTTCCCTGTGACCTTCAAAGTATCTTCCATCAAATCTTTTGCTTTTTTAATATGAAATGAGAAAAACTTAAAATGTCAACATAGGTATTTTTTCTTTTAATGACAAAAGATGCAAAACTTCCAGAAAGGTAATCTTGACTTTCAAAGAGATCTTGTCAGCTCTGTTGATGTCAGTATCAAAAGAAGTTAATAATTATCTGAAGAAAACACAGTTCTCTTAGTAACTTTTTTTCTCATACAAAATTTCTCAGGTTAATCACAGAAGCAGATCTGCAGGGGTATACTGTGCACCTTTACTTTTGCAGCACACTGTCTAAATGCTAGCAAGATTCTTACAGGCAATTACAGCATTATACCTTCTCTGGCATGACTAAATCTATGTTTGATAGGTTGCAAGGAGAAAAACTTAGTAGTTATCTTAAACATATATTTCTTGTACAGTATAATTACCAAAGGAGTGGGTTGCCTTTTTGCTATGTATAGGTCACATGTTTGGCCACGTTGTGTATCATTTAAAGGAGACCATAGCAGCTGTTGAAGGTGAACAAGTAACCTGTGGAAAATTGTGAGTGAATTTCACTGCTATACAATTAGTTTTTACTTGAGAGAAATAAAGCTCAGCATTACTATTAAGTGTCATAAACATTTCAGTCAGGATAGGCTATATTCTGTGGGGTACTGGTACTGACTTTGATCTGTGCCCACTTCTAAAAGACTACTAGCTTCACTAAATTTGTGAAGCTTCCAGAGGACTTCCCAACAAGAGAAATGAATGGCCATCAAGGTCAGTTCTGAAAATCATCTAGGTGATGAAAGAAATAAAAATGCCTTACTGCAAATGAAGCAATGATTATTCTTTTTTTTTTTTTTTTTTTTTTTTCTATAAGGAGGAAATGAAATTCTAATACAGTAGTTCCCTCTGGATGCTCTTTAAAATTTCCTTCAGAATGCAACAGGATAATCCTGCCTACCACCTCCTTTGGTTGGGATTGTGCACAATGATTCAGACAATGACATCTTTGATTCTGCTCAACAGGAATTATCAGCAGAATAGTACACAGCAACATTTATTCATTTATTTATTATGTTTCATTTTACAGAAATTTTTGGGTTTTAGAGCTTAAAAAGGCCTTTTGCCTATTATGTTTCTTTCAAAGCTATACCCATGAAAAGTAAAAGTAGCTTGGGAATGCTATAAATTCAAATTTTTTCACATACTAATTTGTTCTCCTTTGGATTTTTCATAAAGACAAATCAGGCAACACATTTCTGTCCCTTAGTTTCCTCAGCTGGAAAAGGAGGGGAAAAAAAGACGCTGTGCTAACTCCCACATATATTGGGAGGATAAATGCATTGGATAGACTTGAACGGAAAGCTTTACTGAGGATATTTACAATAACCTTTATTTTGCCTGGCCTCTCATCAAAAGAAACACAGGGTTAATTCTGGAAGCTAATTCTTGGAACTATGCTGTTGTATAAATCTAACCTTGGTATTATTCAGTGCTATGTTCTAAAAAACACCACACTTTTTTCTTTTTTCTTTCTTTTTTTTTTTTTTTCCAAATAGTACTGCACCATAATTACAATTGCCGTAGAGGCAGGAGCTAAGCAATTAAATTCTCCATAGGTGTCGCATGTAATTGTTCCTAGCGAATCAGAAGATTAAACATGGCAACAATGCACAGCACAAGATAGCCTAAACTCAGTTTTTCCTGCAGAACTGCAAATAGTAGCAAATCAAAAGGCTGTTCTCCTTAATTACCACTGTATGAGGCATCAAGCTAAAAGCAGGCTCACTCTGTAATGTTTTCTATACAACTACAGTATGTACATACAATGCAAGCCTTTATGCACCACCTAATAGACAATATTATACACACAATTATTGCTAACTTTCATTTTACAGGGAGAAATCACTGGTGAGCCTAGGACATTGGCCTCTCAGCTTCCCCAGCAAGCAATGTGTTGACTAAACTAAGGGAACAGTTTTACTTCCTGAAGCCAGTAGAGACTATTTATACTTAAACACATTTCTTCACAACTTACAGCATGTTGTATTAGGTGAGAGTCTGTGAGCTGGATGGGCTGTACTCTCTGCGAGGTTTGCAAGCTGGAGCTTGTGGAGCACTTCACCAAGTTTACACATTTTTTCTCTCTCTTTATTCAGAAATCAGCTACCCTGCTGATCAGAAGTCCGTTTGGGACTTGAACTCAAGTCACCAGAATTCAAAGAGCTGAAACAAACAAAAATGATGTCGGTTTTCAGGAATAATGGACATTCTTGTACATTAATGTAACGTAAGGAACCAATCAATAAATATATATTTTTTGCTCTGAGCCAACATAAGCATTGGTGCAAGCTGAAATATGTCATCCGCTTTTGCCAGGATTATATATAGTTTCACGTCATTATTTCTTTAATCAGCTTTTCAAGTGCTGTAAGGCAGCAAGCTATCCCAGTAATGAGTTTCTTCCTATTGTAGGTTAACTGCTTGTTGAGATTTCCATTCAGCTGGAGAAACCATCTTGCTCTCTGACATGTTTTTACTGATTATCAGGGTTACTGGGTACACTGTGCACTGAATTTTAATTGGCATCAAGCTATATATTTTTAGTGAGAAAAATGGGAAGTGCTTCTTATGAAATCCTTGGGAATTCAAGTGCTTTCTATGAGAAACTGATTCATAAGATTTACTGATTTACACATCAGAAGAAAATTAAAAATCAACCTTCCTATGTATAAAATGTTCACCTGAGGCATAAACAAAGGAAAGAAAATTATGAAAATCCTTATTTGAACATACAATTATTCATGTTGTTGTAGCAAGTATTATTTTAATTGCTGTACAAAGTCGCCAGCTGGCAAATGGATTTTAACTTTCAGCATATTAACCTGTTTTATCTATGAATTGAAATAACTCAATTGTACTAAAAAAGAACTCCAAACAACTACATTTTATAAACATTTCTTTTAGGCATATTAATACAGCAAATAATGCTTATCTTGATCATACATTAATAAACTGGAACGTTGGAGAAAAAAAGAGGGAAAAATGAATTTCTCTGTAAGTTGTCTTAAGGATGGAAAGTGAAATAAGCCTAGGTACTTAAATACCGGTAACCACAGAGATGCACAGTTTCAAATTTTATAACAAGAGACAGAAAGAAATACATTTAAGTCGGAGTGCATCAAACGTTTGTTAATTATGGTACAACAGGTACATCCTTCTAAGGACCATAGGTGCTATCTTTCCAGCTCGTAGTTATGAAATCTATTATTTCAACTTTTTGAAAAGACAGAAATTATAGTGTGTACCCTCAAATCATCACGGTCCAGCCAGCTGGGGGGAAAAAATAAATTTTCTAAAGCAGTTTGTAATTCCGCATATTTGCCACCAGTTAATTAAAAGGTAATGTCCATAATCCACGTTTTCATTAGTAAAAGGCAGGTAAAAGGATAAAGAGAATCATTAAGGAAAAGAGAATCATTAAGAAATACTGTAGCCAAGGTAACACCATGTATTTGTGGTACTTTTTGTGACCATTTTATTAGTGATGACCACTCTACACAAAATATAGATCTTCATGATATATATCAGCAAAGAAGTTGCAGCTATATTTATTTCTTTAGAAATGTTTTAAGCACTGCAGACTAAGCTAGCCTAAAGATGAAATGCAATGTAGATTTTTTTTCTCATTTGCATGAGGTGATAAGCCACTGTTAAGCTACAAATAGTGGAAAGAGAAGAAATGAAAAATATACTAATGAACACATTGCAATGAAACTCTCTCAATGACTCTCTCAATGCCTTCAAACATAGGCTGATTTGTAGTTATTTGCACAGTTATTAATAGTTTAATTTTATTAGTTCACTGCAGAAAATCCTGATTTACATCTTGTGCAATTAAGTGATGAGTCAGACTCAATCACATACTAGTCTCGATTACTCTAATGCAAAATTGAAGGTGACCTGAATATGTTTTTTGACATTGAACCTTCCAAAAGCATTCTGAAAAATCAAAATTTTGTATTGAGAAAAGTAGACCCCAAAAGGCAGAACTTCACCAGCTCTTTGAAAGTCAGTGGGGTGACTAAATCCCGACTGCAGTGACAGAATAAATAAATAATTAACTTAATCTAGATTTACACTATTGTCAATTTTAGAAATGTAGCCTGTAGCCATCCGATGAAAAAGGTAATCCTACAAATACAGAAAGAATATTTTAGGATGGGAAATAGTCTAACTTGTGTGCTGAATAGCTACGTGGGAATTTGCTGCAGTAATTACCCTCCTATCATTAGTGACAAGTAATTGCTATAGCAACCCCACTGCCACCTGTCTCACACACTCTTTCTCTCTCTCTTTCAAAAACACACTCACACACTCTCTCTCTCTCCATATTCATATTATTGAAACAAAAGCAGAAAAGCCAGTAGCTTGATGTCATTTATTGAATCACTGTTTTTTCTAATCAACAAAATATAACCTCTTCCTCCCTTGCCAACTCCTCATAAATATTTATCAAAAATATAATGTTTGTGTTGTAGAAAACAGTGCTGTTCAACCAAAGTATCTCCATTCTGCACTAATTCTTTGGGGGACAGAAAAGAGAACTCTCACAGCATGAGTTCTTTTTTTACTTTATTGTACACACTGGGCCGGAGACTGATTTCACAGGTATGGATGTGAATTCTAACAAAGGCAACCACATAACATAGGTAAAACTGGCTTGGTATTCACAACCAGGGCAGCTGAGAATAGATCTCTTTCATTTAGACTCATCTAAAAGACCATCTACAGCTATTTTCTGTGGCTTTCTGTCAGCACCAGGTATTACCTTATGGTATGCAAGCATTTACAATTGTTACACAATGTTTTAGTCTTGTCAGCAGCAGGCAGAGACTGAAGAACAGATAGCAAGGTTTCACTATGGCATCACCTAATCCTGCTTCCAGTCTTCTGTTGTGCTCTTGACAATATCAGTGGAACCTTTCTTTGTAACCTTAAAATAATTGGCATGATATCAGTTTGTATTTGAAAGAACCAGAAATTTGCTGTTCCCTGTGATTAGGCAGCAAAAGAAGAAGTGAGAACTGTTGCTGATCCTTTTCTTCCGCAGTTTACAAAATCCCAGTTTTGCATCCCTAGTTACAAGCATTCTCCATAAAGCGATGTTCCTGCTACATCAGCATACAACATAAAACTGGCTAAAAGCTTTGTCACCACTAGATGTCACCAAAATACCAATAAAAAGGGTTTAGACGTACAAACAACTCTAGCTCTCTTAACCCTATCACTCAGCATGTACAAATGCAAAGATGAATTAAAACAGCATTTTAAATATGAAAGAACAGCACAGAAATGCAGGAACAGCATGTCTTGACATAAGCCATTTGCATCCCACATGTTTATTCCACCTCTTGTGATCAAAAGAGACCATTCATATTTAGTTCTTAATATATGTGATTTTTTCTAATTTAAGACATAGATTTTCTCATTCTGCTCATTCCATCCAAAAATAACTCTGTCCAACAGTTCTTAATGATGCTAAGGAAGAGAATGGAGATCCCTACTGAAGTACAATGGTACTATTACTTTATTTTATTTTTCTATATAAATCATAAGGGATATTATTTCATATAGAAGCTTGGGTGCAAAAGGAAAAGCCATAGCAATTTATATATATGCAAATGAACCTTACAGTCTTCAGGTTTTTGCTGAATAGAAAATAGATTTTTAAAATTTCATATCAATGAGGTAATCTTACTTTTAAAATTACCATACAGGCTTTTCATAAGGGCAGTATAAAGTATGTGCCACTTAAATCCACAGAAAACCCATTCCATCCACTAGCAATCTGAATGTTTTACCTGCTTGCTTTAGAAATGAATGTGTGGAAACCTGTATGCAACCAGCTTACAGCTTTTAGAGTGGAATGGTTGGCTGGTCATGTGAAGCACAGGCAGACTTCAGCTTTCAAGCAGGAAATCCATGTACTGTCCCTTAAACTATTTGTCTCATCTATTTCTGATTAAATTATTCATTCTTTCTCTGATGTTCTATCTCAAGACAATATGGCCTGTCAAAATACAGGGTGTACAAGCAGAAAGTAGTATTTATTTTGCAGCCACTTGTAGTCCTTCTGCACTAAACCTTGAAGCAGTACATGTTCATCCTCGGGATTAGGTAGTAAATTATGTCCTATATTTTGTCACCCATATATCATGAACTATTCCACATATTTGAGAATTAAATGGCCACCTATATCATTAATGGAAAAGTTGTGCCTCTTAACAATTGGGAATAATTTAAGGACAAATGAACAACAACAAAAAATAAAACTTTGCAAAGATGTGAAATGTGACATGCTGTCTCAAAAACTTTACGGAAAGAGTTATAACATTAACATAACATGAAAATTTTAGTAATGTAAATTATTACATGGCTATGTAATGGCACACTGATGTTCCATAAGTTTTTTTTTCTTCTCCTCAGAGTACTGATAATGTCATCAAGATTAAAAAAATAGGTTACAGAAATGCACCCTTTGTGATGTTATTTATCAGTATTACACATCCTGCTCACAGTTCAGTGTCACAATGTCAATATACTGAGGCAAAATCTTAAATCTGATGAAAATCATGCATAATAAAATTGAATATTAAATTTAAAATACATTAAAAGAAAGCTCACATCATCTTGTGTTATATCAGGCTGGTATCAGAGTAACATTGTATTTATATTAGCATATGATTTCAGATTCATGGAACTACAGCCATGAAATAAATAGGTGTGCTACATATTTTGTCCTCTTTTCCTTCCTATCTCCACCCAGGTTTCCACCAATGATAAATCCAAACCTAATCTCCACATATGCACGTTGGCTTAAAATCAGTTGATGTTCATCACTCCCTTGCAGCAACCTAATTACTTAAGATGAAGAGGAGGTAAATAGTTTGCTTCAGTAGGTATCAGAAATAACACTGTGCTATGATCTAGATGCAGGAGATGTATAGTGCTTTCTTTACACATGCCAGTCCACTCATCCCAAAAGCTGTGACATACTCAAGAGTTTCTTGTAACTATGCTCTACTATAACTTGAGACCGTTTAGCTTTTTACAGAAAATGCCTGTCTTCTTATGGATTCAGGTCTCTATATGGAGTCCTTCAGAAAAACAAATTCCAGAGATTTCCTGAAACTTACTCTTAGAAATGAACATTTCATTCCATT